CCTCTCAGTAAAACGTCAAACAGCACCCAGAGTGTATTTGTGGTATATTTAAAGTGTTCTTGTGATATAACGTCTTCAGACATCCTCGTTTCCACGTATTCCATTGGCACTCATTAACACGAGCATTAATATTAGCTGTGACGTTGTTCCTGGTTGTCGCTGACGACGATGGGGTCACCGTCACGACACCCCAGATCCACCAAAAACAGCAGAAAATACGATTCTTTCCACGTGTGGCGTTCACCTCAGCTGAAACGGAACCTGAAAAAGCCTTTGGCGCACCTCAGAGGTGAGTGTCCGTCACCCTTCCTTCAGCTGAAAACGCAGCCGTGCTGTCGAAGTCTTGCGTGATCTCCGAGCAAGGCACTGACCTCTCGCCATCTGTTGGCTCCCAGTGCAAACCCTGACCTTTGACCTTCCTGACAAGGATGACGGGTCAACTTGTTTACATAAAAACCCTCAAACCAGCAGCTCAGGTTATCCTCACAGGACAGTTTTCATACGTGGTGTCCCACATGCTGCTTGTGCTGTTCATGGACAGGAAGTACCGATCCTTCCTCACGACCCGGCTGATGACCCCAACCAGGACCTTCCTGTACTGGTGCCGCAGGAGGCAGTAGACGAACGGGTCGCTGGAGGCCTTGGTGAAGAACAGGCATTTGGTGGCGATGCCCCAGTGTCGAGGTACGTGCACAGAGGGCGACAGTTCTACCAGTCTGCACAAGGAGAACAAGCAGAAAACAAATGATCACGTTGGCCCTGATGGAGGGAAGTTATGGGCTTCCTGAGCTTGCTCTGTTTAAAGGGGGATACTTGATAGAAAAGTATCTCGTGTGTAGGCCAAAAATAAATCAAACTAAAAACAACCCCCTGGTGAAAATGTACAAGGATACTTGGCTGTAAATGATGAGAAAATAAAATAACTTTGTGTTTAAATGTTGGGACTTTATGAAAGTTATCTGCAACTGTATAGGGCTACAACTGGATTCAAGTAATTTCATGGTGTTAAAAAGTCAAAGTAGCATCATTCATATGGTTTAAAGACGTAAAAATGAGATAAAAGGATGAGCTTTTATTTTTTTATTTCCCCTCTTCTGGACCTGTTGCTCCAAGTCCTTGTTCAGTTGGGTAAGTTTGCCGAGGGGGAATATCCTGAAACTTTGTTCAAAAGAATAAAAGTTTACACAGTTGGCTGTACATTTTGCCCTGCAGGAAACTTGGTGACGGCTCGTTTACCACATTTCTTTTCAAGCTGCTTTAAAACAAATGTTTGTAACAAGCTACCAGAGCTAGCATGTTAGCATGGGAAACTGTCAGCTGCTACAGAGGCTAAACACCCCGCTAGCTGAGACTGCTTATGAAGAGTTCACTCTGTTGTGATCCTTCTGTTCGTTTTTCATCTTTCTCGTCCTGCAGTTTTCAAACTATTTCAACAAATCATAAATCAAAATGTTCAGCTCTTTCAGGACAATCCTTCTATGACTTTTGGTGCAACTTTAGCTTTTTGAAATATTTAGCCTTTTCTGCCATTTTTTTTTCTCCCCGTATAGAAAATGAATTAAGCTCATCTTTCACATCTTTAGATGTGTTTACAACCTTTTACTGCTCCTTTCACATTTTGTTCTGCTTCAGCTTCTTTCATCTTTGTGCAAATTTAAACTTTTCAGCTTCTTTCAGGTAATTTTAAGCTGTTTTGTGCTCCTTTCAGGTTCTCTCTGCTAACTACAATAGTTTTTGTGCTTCTAATTTCTTTCTGCTCCATTCAGTATATTTATGCGTTTCAGCTTTTTCTGCCATTTCAGCTACTATTTAGCCGTTTTATGCTCATTTTAGCTTTTTCAGCTAATTTCACATTTTTTGCACTCATTTCAACTTTTCCAGCCTATTTCAGCAAACGTGTGCTCTCTCCACTTCCTTCTGGTAATTTAACTTTTTTTTCTGCTTTTTAGCTACTCTTCAGCTGTTTACTAATGTCAGTTTTGTTTTTTTGTTTTTTCCAGATAATTTACTAATGTCTGTTTCTTTAAGCCTTACTGGGCAAAATCATGCTCTCTCCACTTCCTTCTGCTAATGTAAGCTTGTTCTACATTTTTTAAGCTATAGCATTTTTAGCTAATTTCAGCTGTTTTCAGATAAATTCAAGTTTTTCATGGTAATCTGCCACTTTCAGCATAATTAACTTCTTTCTGCTAGTTTCAGCTTGTCAGGTGTCTTTCAGCTTATTACTGCAAGTTTCTGCTTATTCGGCTACTATTTAGCTGTTTTATGCTACATTTGGATTGTTCAACTGATTCCAAATTTTTGGAGATCTTTTCAGCTCGTTGTGCTTCGTTCTAGTAATTTAAACTTCTTTCTGACTTTTCGGCTAATTTTTAAGTTTTAAAGCACTCTGGTGTGAATTCATAAATTCATTACAATCTTTAAGATATTTACCATGAATCCTAAATATTGTAACCAAAAACAATCATCTGATGATGTATTAATTAAAAAAAATGTGATTATGAATTATTTATGTTTGTTCACTGAAATTTAAAAGTGTAAATAGTATAGCCTAATAAAGATTATATTGTAATATTTACATGTGATAAAATTTTCTAAAATGTGTCCAATAAAAATAAAAACTTTATGGATTTTAATTCATGTTTTAATACCTTTTTAAAATACTGTGGAACTGTAGTATTTATACTCAGTCATGATACTGTAAAATGTTTTTATTCCAGCCCAAACTTCACTGCTGTTGCATAAAAACATGAATATTTATTATGTTGCAATCTAAAGCGAGAAGTTTTTTAAATATAAATGTATTCTTGTTAAAGCTCATTTCAGATCCCATCAGTATAAACGTTAGATCAATAAAGAAACTATAAAAACTGTCCCTTCTGGTGAACTTACTGAAAACAAGACGACATCCTGCACCAGATTAATTTTTACTTTACAACTTGATGAATCAAGTCCAGACGAGTTGTTTCCTTGTGGTTTTCTGATAAAAGAGCCTGAACGGTCAGTTCTAGAGAAGATCCAGGGACTTCCTGGACTCTGGCAGGGCGTTACCTGGTGATGACGTACGGTGAGAAGCAGAGGATGAAGGAGCCGATGAAGATGCAGATCTTTTTAGCCGCACGCTGCCGTCTCTTCCTCTGCTGAGACAAACACCGCTCCTTCACCCTGATGGACAAACACACATTATTGAAGATGTGACGGAGCGCGTCCTGAATTCAGTCTCGTTGGATCAACTTGAATTCAAAGGACTCAGAGGAGCTCTTTTTTTTTTTTTAAACCAGCCGAAACTTTTATTCTTTAAACTAATTTCATTGTTTCTGTGATGAAGCGGTTCTGGTCCTTGAGGTTCCACTATGCTGCACGTTTTACCTGCTTCTCTGCTTCAGTGGATCTGATTTTAGTTAACTAAAAAACATGATTAGGAGGCTTCTGAAGAAGCAGAACACCTGCTGAAGGAGTGAGTCAAACCCTCATTCGTGTGTGTTGGAGCAGGAAACGGAAACATGCAGGATGTCTAAGACACGAACCAGATTCCTGCTGATGTTCCTCTGAGATCTAAAAAGAGTTGATGTTAAATGAAATACATTTTATCTAAAAAAGTTAAATCTGGTCCTCTGGACATTCAAAAAAAAA